GTCTTTTGTTATGGCAACTTTTATTAAATGTGCTCTTTGACAGCTTCACACATGCGTACAGGGTGTCCTAGCTGCCCTCACCTCACCCTCGCTTATCCATTTATTATTATTATCTATTATTAAATATCTTATCTATTTACCTCTCCTGTTTCTCACATTCATGTCTTTTTTTTTTTTTTTTTTTTTTTTTTTGCTTTGCTTTGTGATCCATTCAGTTTCATATTGGCCTGTGTGATCACCTGTGTGATTGACTGCAACTCTGGGCATGCAATTGAAGACATGATGATCCCCCTTCCCAGTATCCATCAGTAGCCAGTGTCTAACGCCTTCATCCGAAGGTTCCTCTGGAATTGGAAAGTTCTTTCTAACTAATTTACTAGCTAGGATCTTTGGAGAGTGACTCTTCTCCTCATCAAATATTCTGGCACTTGCCATGGCGTGTTGAGATTGAACAAAGAGAAAGTGTACGCTACTCCTTCCTCTTACTGCCTATCCAGAATGGTGGACTCATTTCTCACAGGTGCCCCCTCAAGCCACCAATGCTAAGGCTACGGTAAAGATCCTGCCAAATTGCCAAGGTCAATATATACATCAGCTGTCTGGAGGCAGGGTTACAAAGAACAGCTTCAGAAGCGGTGTCTGGGACGCTTTCTCTGTAAACACGAACTTCACATTTCCAGGGACCTGCCCAGCCAGCTGTGTGGAGTAGCATTACACTGGCCCAAGGCTGGCTGGGCCACTAAAGGAAGGTGGTCTTTCTGGGCCTGCTTATAGCAAGGAGACACTTCACAGGCCTCCCCCTGGGAGAGAGCAGCTCACCCAGGCCCAACCTAGCACATTCATGCCATCGCCCTCCATTTGTGCACCGGGGGATCTGGAGGTGGTTGGACTCTAGGCACCCCTCTAGGATGCAGCTGCTGCTGTGTTGGCAGCAATAGAAGCCACCCTCCAACATGAAGGACACCGTGAGGACCTTCAAGAAGCACAGGGCTGAGAATGTCCTCAGGTTCATGACTTCCTTCTGTGTCTCCGTGGGGTGGGGAGAAGGGAAGGGACGTTACTATAGCCCCAGTGACCCGTGTGTGGCTGTCACTATGGTGTCTGCTTCCCATCCAGCTTCCTAAGGCAGAAACTGAGGACCAACATTGCCTCCCCCATGCCCAACGTGTGGCTCTGTGCATGGCACACAGACGGTGGCACATGGCCCAGCTTCCATCTCTGGGTCAGCAAATTACAGCATGCAGAAAAGCAAGCCACTGGCAACTCTTCCCACCTGGCCGGTTTGGGGCTTCATGAGTTCCGTGCTTCCCCCATGCCGTGTGTGACATGGGGCTTCCAGAGGACACCCAGAATGGGACCCAAAGGGCCACTTGTATGGCAACAATCACCTCCACATGCTTTAGCTAATGACTCTGAGTGAAGAGGCCAGATCTTGGGTCTCTTAGTAGCCAAGATTCCTATGGGTAGTTCATGTTTAACAAATGCAGAGGGAAGAGAAGAGCTGTACTCCTCGATCCAGGGGTCGGCCTGCATCTTCCAGCACCTGCTGGATCCACAGTGTGGACACACTGACTTCCACAACTGCAGGCTGACATTTAGCTTGCTTGCCCCTCCTTTCTTCCAGTTGGGAGAAGGCGACATCTCCCTGTACATGAAACATCCTGGCCACCAGCCTTCTAGTAGAAGTGATGTACTCAGTACCAATGCAGCTCTAGTGGGCTCCTGTGCCACCTGCTGACTAGGGAACAAAGAGGCAGAGCTCCCACTAGTCTATTGGACAGGAGGTGGACTGGGGAGGTCAGACCCCTTTGATCTGGGTCCCCATTCTTGTTGTTAAAAGAATTTATGTATTGATACAACAGGTCAGCAAGTGAAGCATCCATCGAGAAGAGGAAATTTTGAGAAAACCAACACCTATCCGTTAGGGGACAATTTGGAGTGCTTCACCTGGAGGACCATACTGAGGCGCTTGGGATAATGATGTAGGGTGTTTAGTGAGCAGCCCACAGCAAAAGATGTTTTATAACTGTATCTCAATGCTGGAGCTGGAACTACATGTGACTCAGGGCTTAGATCAGAGTCAGTGTGGCACAGAACCAGGCTGACAGCCTCTGAGGGGAGCTGGGTGAGAGAGGAGGGCTCTTCACCGTCCAAAGGGAGGATGCATAGGAGAGGGGAGAGGACCGGGAGGGCCAGACACACAGCCTCTGGTCCGACACTCCTGTCTCACTCCAGCTGTGGTTTATGGAGTACTCATGGTTCTGTCTGACTCCATTAAGCACTTCCATTTCCCTAAAAGACAAATTAATCTATTTTACTAGGTTGATAATTGGAGAGTATTAAACCTAAACACCACTTTAAAAGTCACTGAGAGACTTCAGCTGCTTTTCTCAGGAAGTGCAGCTTACTGGCTATCCTGGAGTCCCAGAAGCCAGCCGAGGACACTGCACTGCCCAGGCTGGGGCTCATCAGCCTCGTCCCAATGGCCAACTCTAACTCTTTGTGGATGAGATAGAAAATAGAGCTTGTGGCCACAAGCAGAAAGGCCCAGCAGTGAACTTGATGCCCGAGGCACCTGACAAGGGTCTTGTCTCTCATGGTGTCTTCCTTGTGTCCTTGGCTCTACTGTTCCCTCTCCCATTTACCTCCAGAGGCTCTGGTTACTCTCTACCTGCAAAACATTGCACCGAGCCTAGGAGATGCCATTAATTCCCTTCCATATCTCCCTCAGGAGCCCCACCTTCCTGGGGAGTCCCCCCTCCCTCTCTGTCTCTGGCCAGGCCACAGATCATTTATCCATTACTCAGGTCTACAGAGTAGGGTGTTCAAACTGGCTGAGGTAACAAACCGTAGCTGGTGCTTATGTGGATCCTTCCTCTCTAGAACACTGCAGAGGCCATCCTGAGTCCTCGTCACCAAGTGTGACATCGAGTTGATTAGTTACTTCTCCTCTTTGGTGTAACAAAATGTCTGATTAAAGTAACTTAAAGAAAACGGTTAATCCTGGCATACAGTTTGAAGAGATACAGTCCATCATGGAGGGGATGGCCGGCAGAAGGAATCCGAGGCAGCTGGTTACATTGTGTCCACAGTTAGGAAGGAGAGATGGGGGAAAGTTGGTCCTCAGTCCATTTCCCACTGTTTTTCCTTATTTATTCCCTTCAAGGGATGTGCTCATGTCTGCTGGTGTACAATGATCCACTCTACAAAGTTTCCTAATTATCACCCATCTTGTTTGGAGACAGACTGAGCTCAATTCCAGTCTCTGCTACTATTAAAATACCTGTTAGCCCTGTGCACATGTGGACAGCACTATATGAACTCAGTGGGTATTTGTTTTTAAAGAGAAAACAGGAAGTTGGGAGGGGAAAGTGTGTGGTGGGGGGAGGGGGATAAGGTAAGAATGGGAAGGGAAGAGCTCTAAACACATTATATCCATGTGTGAATATTAAATAAAAGAGGTTTTTAAATAGCCACAAGCAACATTCCAGAACATAACAACTTCCTTCACTTTTTTCCTTTTATTGAAAATAGATTCTTTTCTTATACAATATATCCTGATTACAGTTTCTCCTTCCTCTATTCCTACCAGTTCCTCCCCAAATCCCCTCCAGATCCATTCCCTTTCTATCTCTCATTAGAAAAGAAAAGGCTTCTTTTTAAATTTTATTTGTTTTTATTTCATGTGCATTGGTGTTTTGCCTACTGCCATATGGGTGCTGGGAATTGAACCCTGGTCCTCCAAAAGAGCAGCCAATACTCTTAATCACTAAGCCATCCCTCCAGCCCCAAGAACAGGCTTCTAAGATATAACAATCAAACATGACATAATAAAATAAAATAAAATGAAGCAAAAACTATCATATTGAAGTTGGACATGGCAACCCAACAGGAGAGAGAGTCCCAAGAACAGGACCAAGAGTCAGAGACACACTTACTGAACATAACTTTTAAGTGAGTAAAATATAACCACCTGTGTGGGGCTGGAGAGATGGCTCAGTGGCTAAGAGCACTGACCGTTCTTCCAGAGGAACCAGGTTCAATTCCCAGCACTCACATGGCAGCTAACAACTGTCCATGATCTAACTCCAAGATCTAACACCCTCACTTAGAAATACATGCAGGCAAAACACCAATACAAATAAAATAAAAATAAATAAATTTATATATATAATATATATAAAATTATATATATTATATATATATATATGTTTTTCGAGACAGGGTTTCTCTGTGTAGCTTTGCGTCTTTCCTGGAACTCGCTTTGTAGACCAGGCTGGCCTTGAACTTACAGAGATTCACTTGCCTCTGCCTCCCGAGTGCTAGGATTAAAGGTGTTCACCACCACCACCCGGCAATAAATTATATTTAAAAGGCAAAGAAAAAAAGAAAGAAAGAAAGAAAGAAAGAAAGGAAGAAAGAAAGAAGACACCTGCTGATGCTGGTTACTTCCCCAGGTACACAGGAAAATGTCAATAACAACACCTTCATGTGAAAAGTTCATTGTTGCACTTGAAAGCAACAGAAATAATATGGCCAGTAGGGAAAAATATAGATTATTAAATATTAGGTGTGGTGATATTGTGTTCCCCAAAATATTGTTCACCCTAATAAAATTATATGGGGTCAGAGAACAGAACAGCCACTAGATATAGAGGCCAGAAAATGGTGGCACACCCCCCTTTAATCCTAGCATTCCAGAGGCAGAGATCCGTCTGGATCTCTGTGAGTTCAAAGCCACACTGGAAACAGCCAGGCGTGGTAACAAGAGCCTTTAATCCCAGGATGTGATGGTAGGAAGCAGAAGGTATTTAAGGCATGAGGACGAGGAACTTAACTAGGCCTGTTAAGCTTTTAGGCTTTGAGCAGCACAGTTCAGCTGAGATCCATTTGGATGAGGACACAGAGACTTCCAGTCTGAGGAAACAGGATCAGCTGAGGAATTGGCAAGGTGAGGTGGCTGTGGCTTGTTCTCTGATCTTCCAGAATACATCCCAATACCTGGCTCCAGGTTTGTTTTTATTAATAAGACCTTCTAACAATTCATGCTACAATTAGGTACTGACATTTAGTATTAGTATAATGAGAATAGACAGCTTAGATTTTTATATCAATTACCAAAATAAGAGAATTAAAGAATAAAAACAGTAAGTTATAGGAAAATATGTGATTCTGATGTCTGACTATATAAGAAATCTCAAAGTATGCAGGACCACTGAATAAATGTTAATGTAAAATAGAGAACAATTTTCACATTCACTAGGAAATTTTTACTTTCTTAGGTTAAGACATGAAAGGAACAAATTACAATTCACCTAAATTCAGAAAACACCTAGAGTAGATGCATCATGAAGTGATATGGTAATAAAGGTATGGTAATAAACATGTGTGAAAAGCTTGGGCAACCCAAGAAAAGTCTGTAAAACTGCAGGAATTGGACCGAAGGGATTTCCCAGTGGTTAAAGGCATAGGCTGTTCTTGCAGAGGACCCAAATTTGATGCTTGGTACCCACATTGAGACGCACAACTGTTTAACTCCAGTTCCAGTGCACTCAGCGCCCTCTTATGGCCTCCATGGGCACCTGCATACACACAATGCACATAAATTCACGCAGGCACACACATGTACACAAAAATAAACCTTTTTTTTTTTTAAAAAAAAAAAACCTAATGGGATAGGTAGAGAATAAAGGATATACAGGTGCTCCTCTGCTGAGAACACTTGACTTTGTCATCAACCAGAGAAAAGTATACGCTATGTCACAAGGTACGACTGTGACTATTCGAGCCTTGCAGTGAAGAGGAGTGAAGGGAGGGGCATTCTCACACACAATTGGGACGGATCTTTTTGGAAGCCATTCAGCAGTGTATGGGACACTCTCTGCTGTTCAGTACCTCATCACTCCTGTGGGTAGAAATCTGTGTGGGAATGATGTAAAATATAAGCAAAAAGTGTGTAGAACACATCCACTCAGATGCTGTATGTGACTTCAAAATAAATCCTAAAAGCAGTGATACCTAACTGCAGGAAAATGAAGACGCGCAAGTGTCCTGTGCACCTGCAGAACAGGGCACAGCCATTAGATGAGGTCCCTATGGTGGCTGGAAGCGCATCCCTCACAGGCAGATCCAGGATGGCAGGTGGCCAGCAGAACCCCAAATCTGCCTGCCTTGCTCAGGAAGCTCCCACAGTTAAGTGGGTGCAAGTGTGGGTACAGATATTCAATTCCTGGAGAGCGTCCGATCCTTGAACTATGATCCTTAAACTCCAAGACTGGAGAAGCGCTTCTGGGTTCAGGACCTTGGAGAACTCCGCTGTGGTGTCGAGAGGGCTGAGGGCCGCAGGCTCCAGCAGGAGGCCATCACCTCCCAGCGAGAGAGCTTGCTGTGGGGTCACTGTTGCTGAGTCAGGCAGGTGGTAGGTAGCTGGAGAAAACCATGACTGAAGCCTCTAGAGAGGGCAGGGCCATATCCATGGATGTACCTATACACAAGACCTGGGCCTTCTTCCCGAGCAGGTGGGAGAGGCTGAAGTGGGATGGAGCATTTACTGATCCTGTCTTGAACCTGGTGTGGTACAGAGTTCAGGCAACGTTACAGCTCCCTGAGAAGAGAAGGAAAGATGAAACGAAATGATGTCACCTCACTCAGGGGGTAGGCTAAAGGGGCAGCAGTGGGAAACCAGAGTGAGCATGCCACTTTGTGGCTGTCCTTGGCTTTGGGCAGTGTGTTTTGTTGACTCTGTCATGCAATCTAAGTTTATAAGGATTTGAGGGAGTTCTAAGAGTCAACAAAGCTGTAACAACCCCCAGACACTCAATGCCATGTCCTGTGCTGATGCCATTCCTGTGCTGATGCCATTCCTGTGCTGATGCCATTCCTGCGCTGACCCCATGCCCTGCACTGACCCCATGCCCGCGCTGACCCCATGCCTGCGCTGACCCCATGCCTGTGCTGACCTCATGCCTGTGCTGACCCCATGCCCTGCGCTGACCCCATGCCTGTGCTGACCCCATGCCCTGCGCTGACCTCATGCCCTGCGCTGACCCCATGCCCTGCGCTGACCTCATGCCCTGTGCTGACCCCATGCCTGTGCTGACCCCATGCCTGTGCTGACCTCATGCCTGTGCTGACCCCATTCACGCAGTAACTTCCTGCACGTCGTTCTGTTTGTCTGTCTTGTGAAACCTCATCTTGATTCCATGTAGTGAGTCACTGAGTGTGACTTCTGGGGTGATGGCAGCCTCACAGAGGGATCTGGGGTACGCATCCCAGTGCAACAACTGTTGGGGTACCTTGTGGTTGGTGTGGATTCCTGCGGCAGTCTTGACCACACAGAAGTGAGTAGCACAAGGAAGCCCTCAACATCAGGCTCTGCCATCTCCCTTCAGGAAGTCACATGACTTTCATCTGAATGTAAAGGAAGGATGATTTACATGGAATTTGTTTTGCAAAAAACCATCCATTCATATACAATGCGTTGAGAAAGTGATTTGCCCTTTTAGGATTCTTTCTTTCTTTTTTAAAAGTAACTTTGTTAAATACATTTTATTTAATGTTGCTACCTATTAGTGTGGCTTAGCACTATATCAAATTCTATTTGAAGGACATACATAAAGTATTATGTCCTTCCTAAGTAAAAGGGAATAGCTAATAAACACTTGCCTAGATTGAAAGACTGAATTCTAATACTTAAAGGGTAGGGTGATAATTTGGTTGGAGAAGTGATTGCCTTGCAACCATGAGGCCCTGAATCTTGCTGGGAAGCTAGTCTACTCTAATCAGTGAATCCTAAGCCAACTGGAGATATCTTAAAACAAAACAAAACAAACAAAAAAAAACTACAACATGAGGGCACCTGAGAACTGACCCGAGGCTGGCCTCTGGCCTCCATACATACCTGCACACACAAAGATTTGAAAGCCTCTGATTTTTTTTCTCTTCTGGAAAATGCCTCTGCTATGTTCTATGAAATACTGGCTATCACATGCCATAAGGTATAAAAGAAGGTGACAAGGTCATATTTTCAGTTTCATAATGACTGGAACTTTTATGTAGTCAGAAACTCTAGGAGCCAGGCTCAGAGAAAAGAGTACATTAGACCCATCTGCCTTTCTGAGAGTGAGAAAGGCTACTTGCAGATCAAGACATACAGACTTACAGCAGGCAGACAGATGCTGACCCCCTCCCCTAACCCCCTCCCTGCCTCTTCCTCCCCTGTCCACCCCACTCCACCACAGATACGGAGTAGATTCCAGAAATCCCAGATGAGGGGTCCTTACCTTGCCACGGTGTCTGACTTTTGAACTATGGACCCCAAAATTAAAGAAGGGCCAAATTAGATTTATTCTAAAATGTAAATTTCAGTGAATATTTTTAAAAAATCAGTTAATGTAATTCACTATAGTTTGTTTGATTTTTTTTGTTTGTTTGTTTTTTGTTTTTTGAGACAGGGTTTCTCTGTGTAGCTTTGCGTCTTTCCTGGAACTCACTCTGTAGCCCAGGCTGGCCTCGAATTACAGAGATCTGCCTAGCTCTGCCTCCCGAGTGCCAGAATTAAAGGCGTGCACCACCACCGCCTGGCCATAATTCACTATAGTTTTAAATTAAACCAGAAAGCCAAAGATTGTCTCACTAGTGTGAAAAAAATGTCGATATAAACTTTTATATCCTTTTATATCCTAGACAAATTAGTCTATTTGGATGGAAGAATTTTTATTTAAACCGAACCTAAAAGAAAATCTTAAAACAAATATTTTACCAAATCACAGAGTCTAAACATCTCCTTTACAAGGGAACAAAGGGGCAGTGGAATGGTGGCTGAGCCAGGATGTGCCACAGAAGATGAGGACTTGAAGTCAGGTTCCCAAAACCTGTGTAAAAGCCAGGAGCAGCAAAACGTTCCTGTCCTCCCAACACGGGAGAAGTGGACAGGAGGATCGCTCCAGGTCACCGGAGAGCCAGGCTGGCTGACTCTGGGAGCTCCAGGTTCAGTGGGGGACTCTGTCTCAGAGAGTAAGGTAGAAAGAGATTGATGATGACACCCAACATGGACCCCTTGCCTGTGTTCACACACACACACACACACACACACACACACACACACACACCCCTCATATACCTGTGTGCACACACATAGGAATATACATACAAGAGTAGATTAAAGGAAGACTGTACAATGTTAGTAGCTCTAGCCTGGGAGTAAGATGAGGTTTGCTGAAGAACATAAAGGAATTTGAAAAAGAAGACATAAGAATAATGGTATCCCCCACAGTATCTCCAAAGAAATCTCCTCATATGTTCAAAATATGAGGACTGGTAAGAGTGCTGAACAAAATCACTGAGTGTTTTATTTCTTTACCCAAGCAACAACAATTTAAGAAAAAATAAAGTTTTGTATACACATAGTATTGACAAAAGGAACAAAGGATGCAGAGTGCTCAGAAGAAATCTAACCAAATCTGCTCGAGACCTCTACAGGCAACATTACAAGATTTTGTATGAAGAAAGCTGAAACTCTCCTAAGCAGATGGGGAAACGTGCCATGTCTGTGGGCAGGGAACTCGGTGTCTTTGAAGATGTCCAACATTTCTAAACTCATGGCAATCCTCACAAGGTGGCTCATTAAACTTGTCAAACTAGTTCCAATTGTACCAGAAACAGAGTTACCTGGTTATCTAAGAGTCTCTTGTAGAATGAGCTGATGGGGTTTGCCAGTGAGGGTTCCTTTAAATGCCTAGTAGTTAAGACCTCGACGTATGGGCCTCTGGTAAACAAGGACATCATCATAGGGAAGGAAAGAGAACACAGAGGTTGACAGGGCAACCGTGCAGACCTGACATGCCAGGGAGGCTCAAAGTCACACAAGGCAAAGCCACATGTTCAAAACCACCTTCCAGAAGTGGGGAGAGAAAAGTGAATTTGTATCATCATGCTGCAGACACAAAGATTTGATACAGGTGCAGTAAGCCCCAAATAGAGAAAGGGTACGTGGGACTAACTACTTGAGAATTCAGGTAGGGAGAGGGAAACAAATGTTTAAACAAAACAAAAACCCAAAATCCAAAGGAAAGTTGAGAAATTTAAGTAAAATTAGGAACTGCCACTCCTTCAAAAGACAGCTTAAAGAAAATGGAGACACACATAGCCCACCGGGGAGCATGCATGTCACAAAGCGTCAGTTCTTGGCCTACATGAGCAACGCCCACAGGCTAGGGAGAGGACATTGAAGTCTGTGCTGCTGGAGGGGTTTGCAACTTGCTTGCTCACTTGAAATAATTTTCATTATGTGCAAAAAATTGAAGATGCAGAATTAATATCAGAAACCCAATTCCTCTATATAAAACAGTGTGTGAGAGAATATACGTGTACGTTCAAGTGACGTTGAGTAAGAACTTTGATTGTTAAAAAGTCTATGATGAAGATGTGGAGATTCATTGCAGGGCACCCTCTGGAACTCCTTCATGGTTTTTGGCAAAGCAAGTCCCCTGGATCCTGAGATGTCTACACTTTGCTGCCGTGTGGAGAGGCTCCTTCTGTAAGTGGCTTACAGTCAGAGGATGAGACAAAATGACAGCAGCGACCGACTGTGTGAATGTGGCCCCTTTCTTTTTTAAAAGATTCATTTTATTTGTTTGTTTTGTGTATGTGTGTAGTGTGTATGCACACGAGCATGCAGATGCCCAAAAGGTCAGAAGAGGGCGTCTGACTCCCTTGAGTTACAGGTGGTTGTGAGCTACAGAACATGGGTTCTGGGAGCCTAATTCTCACCTTCTGGAAAAGTAGCAAGTGTGTTCTTAGTTGCTGAGCTGTTTCTACAATCTCCCCTCCCCCGCAAAAAAAAAAAAAAACCCTACTTTTTAATTTAATAAAAGTGCAAAATTTAATCCGAAAACATAGAACAATTGTGCTAGAGTGCATGGGGCATCCTGGGAGGCCCTTTAAGAATGGGCTTCAAGAGCGGGGCACGAACAAAAGGTGCAGGCTGTTTTCCCGTAGGCAACTCTCCAGCTCCTGCTACCACTGTCGGGATCTTGGATGTTTTTGATGTCATTATTATTTTAAGACAATCGTAAGGAACTAAATACTCATGAAATCAGCACTTCGTCCTAGACAGCAGCGGCCGCCATTTCTTTCCCCTTTCAGTTTTCACTCTTTCCCTCATGGGATTCTATTTTACAAGATCAAATCATGGTATTTCTTTGTCTTTTCCCCCTAAGTTTCATGGTTGCATGTTTTAACACTTGGTTCACTCTGTTCATCTGTCACCTCAGTGAAGGAAGACTTTGGGGGGGGGCACCTTCAAAGCATCTTCAGTATGTCTTTAATGATGCTGACCACACCTGCGGAAGGTCCTGTGTTAATCCTCAACGCAGTGAAATGCCAGTTTTCCAACCCAGCACTTTGCCCTGTACGGCAGGGTTGATTTCAGACTTACACTTGTCTCTCGGTCCTGCAGGCGTGCTCTACGCCACCCTCCAGATTCTGCACTTCCTAGGGGCACTAGTGGCATCTGAAATGCCATCCCACTCTCTTTATAGGGAACTGAGTGGCCTGTTCCTGGGACTTCCATGATGTCAGGGAACACCTGCTTCTTGGACCAGAAAGCTCAGAGACAAAAAGCAGCTTGACCTGCCTGGGCTGCTGTTGCTCCAGGCAAGGTGAAGCAATATGCAGGGGCCGATGGTTGCTACCCATGCGGGGAGGTACCTCAGGCGATAGCCTGTGCTGGATGGGAAATGAGCAAGATGGGTCTTCACCTGAGAAGGACTTCATCTGGCAGTGTGGTTTGTTGTCCACACTACCCTTGGCAATGACTGAAGGAGGGGGTGTCAGTATCTAGTATGCCTCTGCTTTATCCAGGAGACAAGTAAGCACTAAGAGACCCAGGAGGACCAGGAGACCTGGGGGACCAAAAGGCCTGGAAGACCAAGAATCTTGGGTTGATCAACACACATCACGGAACCAAGAGACCTGGGAGGGGACTGAGACACCTGGGAGACCTAGAGAACCCGGAGAATGTAAATCCCTGGAATTTGGGGATAGTCCCCACAGTGCCTGTGGGACCACTGAGCACACCTGTGGCTGATGAGCCTGAAATGATTCATTGTGTCCTTCGGTCTGTACAACTTCACCGCCAGGCCTCATAACTCATAAGCATGTCAAGTGTGACCGTGAGTTACGCAGGCAGTTCCTGGTACTGTCGTCCAGGGGAATCAACCAGACACAAAGCACAACAGTGATCACTTTTGATTGAGTGACATTTACAGACTTTCCTGCAGTGTCCCACTCCTGTGAGATGGTCCGCTCCTAACCTGAGAAGCAGGCGTTGTCTTAAAGGACCTGGGTTTCATTTAAATAGCTGCACTCTCTGTGACATGGGCACTCTCAGCTCTCATATTAAATGTGTTAACTCTCACAATTATGTTTGAAACTGTAATCCACCAGGGCTTAAGAGAAAGGGGTTCCCTTCCTGTGGTAGTGACTCGGGACAGCAGACATCATTTTTGTCGGAAAGAGTAAACTTGTTTCAAACTTAAAGATGGAAATGACCACAGAGGCAGGTGGCCAGTGAATGAGTTACATTTGAGAAGCACCTGGACAGGAAGGGCAGGGAACGTCGTGCCATGTGTAACTGTAAGAGTTACACATGGAGCTGATCCTTACATTTTACCAGTCCCCTGCCGTTCGTTCACTCCTGGAAGGTTCCCACAACACGGGCTGATGGTTACAGGCACCTCTTTGAAGCTGCGGTGCCTGAGACAGATCCAGCCGGCTTCCAAACCAATTTAAACATGATGTGCTCAAAGTCAGACACTGATGCCGTAAAATAAAAGATGAGTGAGAACAAGATTTGTCTTAAAAGTTGCCACAATTCTCTTCCCGCTTGGCTACATTTATTCCTCTTCCTGTGCACACATAATTTTCTTCAAAAGGCAAATCTATTTAACTAGGAAAGAGGTTAACCTCCCTCCCTTCCTCCCTTCCTCCCTCTCTCTTCCCCTCCCTCTCTCTCCCCCTCCTTCCCCCTCTCTCACCCCTCCCTCCCTCTCCCCCTCCCTCTCTCTCCCCCTCCCTCCCTCTCTCTCCCCCTCCCTCCCTCTCTCTCCCTTCCTCCCTCTCTCTCCCCTCCCTCCCTCTCCCCCTCCCTCCCTCTCTCTCCCCCTCCCTCCCTCTCTCTCCCTTCCTCCCTCTCTCTTCCCCTCCCTCTCTCTCCCCCTCCTTCCCCCTCTCTCACCCCTCCCTCCCTCTCCCCCTCCCTCTCTCTCCCCCTCCCTCCCTCTCTCTCTCCCCTCCCTCCCTCTCCCTCTCCCTCCCTCTCTCTCCCCCCTTTTTCTCTTTCATTTTGTTTTGTGTCTTTGTGTTCTGAAACTGCATCACTCTGCGTAGCCCAGGATAGTCTCAAACTTTTGCAGATTCTCCCGCCTCTGCTGGCCGAGGGCTGGACCTCAAGCTTACTTACCCCATCACACCACAAACTTGTTTCCTTGTTCTAACTTTGTGTCATCGTTTCCTGGAATCTTCCCAGAGGTGGACCTTAATGTGACATTTGACAATGAAACTCCTAAGGTTCAAAGATTAAAACCATATCAAACCATTCTATTACCATGTTTTTAGTAGGTATACATAAAGTATGGTCTTAAGAGGAAAATGGAGGGGGGGGGATAGAAACCACTTTCCCTACAAGTTGATAAGGATGGGCTAAAACAGCAACACCAGGAATTAAAACTGCAGTTAAGAAAAATAACAGATGATGTCGTAATAACATGTGACAATTCTGTTTTCCAATTCTATGTCACAACCATAGATGCTTATGAAGACCAGAGTCCTAACCACATAAAGAAGTGAGCCCTTATGGAGGCAGAAGGGTACAGAAGCAGAGATCTGCACTCTGGATCATTGCACAGGATGAGGCTCCCAAAGTATCCACAGCACATTCAGTCACTTGGTGTTTGCTGGGTTTTATGATCTGAGCTGAAGATACACTAATGGCCGGTACACCGGTCCATTCTAACACACACAGTGCAGGGTGTGAATGTCACCCTGGACCCTCTACGGTGCTGTGAAGTCTTAAAATGCAGCTTGTATTCACCCAGATGAAGGTCAAATATTGGTACATCTCAGTTTTTGTTTTGTTTTGAATTACACCGCCTAACGGGGTTTTCAAACACTCAAACTCAGAACCTAGAAGGTGGGCACTATTCCACTCTATAGGGAGTAACATTTTAAAATAGGAATAACATGTCACTTTCTTTCAGCCTGGCAGCAGTGGTGTGGTCTCTGAAACACTGAGAAGCAGCAGCCAATGATGGAAGGCCTGCTGCTATCGATCTCCCAGTAGTAATTCTTAGGATGTGTTTGTCCATAGGGCAGTCTCCAGTCTTCAGTTCTTCCTTTTCAGGGTTTCAGGAGTTGTGGCTGCAAGGTTCTGCCTGCACGTCACAAGCTGATTGGGTCACTTTGCGTTTGGGAAATTGGGAATGCTCACACTTCTCAGTTACTTCACTATAATTATGTTGTTTGTGTTAGACGTGTGTGAAATAAGGCCAAAGTGTAAGACATGTGTGAAGAGGCAAAGGGCTCTGACTTCTGGTTGCAGCCTGGAATCTAACCCAGGGTTCCACTCATGCTGGGTCAGTGATCCATCACTGAGCTACATTCCCAGCCCTAATTCTTCCGTTTTAACCTTTTATGAATCTGCAGACTCATAGGACAGGTGGTGGAAATTCCCTGTTCAGGAATTAAAAAACTTCAGCTCAGCACCCCTGACTAAGAATCAATACTTAAGACACCTGCACTTGAGAGGGTGAAGTTTTAAATGTCCCCACATCCTGCTAAGACCGTCGTGTCATCGTGTGTGGACACAGCAATGAAACACTCTTACCAGTTCACTGTTGCTGAGACTTTTTTTTGAGATTTATTTTTATATGTATGTGTGAATATCTACACATATGTCTGTGTACCACATGCCTAAATGGTGCCCATGGAGACCAGAAGAAGGTGCTGGATCCCCAGGAACTAGTTACAGGTAGTTGTTGGCCTCCACGTAGGTGCAAGGAATTGAACTCAAGTCATTTGCAAGCATAGGAAGTGCTCTTAACCACTGAACAGTCTCTCCAGCCCTGGTAATTAATTTTTTTAATATTTATTTTATTTGTGTATATGTATGTCTGAGTGAATGTCACGTATATTTGGGTGCCCTCAGAGGTCAGAAAAAGGCACTGGATTCCCTAGGGCTTTGTAGACAGCTGTGAACCATCTGTCACGGTCTTTTGGAAGGCAGTAAGTACTCTTAACCACTGACCTATCTCTCCAGCCCCAATTGCTGTTATTGATACTGTATGCCAGCTTTTGTTTTACATGTAGAATCCCAAGGATGTGATTGGCAGTGCACACGGCAATCAAGGAGGAGCCTTTGGGTTCCTCCCCTCCAGGTAAAGAACCACTCTCTCTGAATGCACCACTAACTTTCCTACTGCCATCATCTAGCAGCACAAAGTAGAACACAGCATCACCTAAACTGAGACTAAGCAATTCAAAAAAGAAAAAGAAATGATTGCACATGAGAATGAACTAAGGAGTTGTTAGCACACAGTTCTAATTATTTTGCTCAGAAACATAGCCATGGTGAAGACATGTGGACTGACACTTGTCATTCAGAGTTTTGAGGGTAGGTTTTCTTTTCCCCTCATTATTTTTCAAAAATTTCATTTCGATATCTTTCTATGTGACTTCGGCTTATTCTAAAAAGAATCCAAGGTTGAATGACCAATGTAGGGGAAAATGTGTTTTGCTGTTAACTCAGGTGTGATCTAGTAAGCATAGAATAACCCTGAGCTACATTCTTGATTTATTGTGTTGCTTTGTTTTCTGAAACTTTAAATCGTCATTGATAAACATTTTCCATCTGACTGTGCTGAAACGTGCACGGATTAGTTCTAAAGTTACTGGTCTGTTTCCTAGAAGTCTGTTATATCTCAAATCACTTCTACTACCTTCCTCCAGGATTCCAGCAAAGTGAATATGTCAGGTGGTAAGCAATTTCACATAAAACCCTCCAGCCACCAGTGGAGGTATAGAGCTGTGCTCACTGGATGTCTTGGGGAGAGACATCGCCAGTGGGTGGCAGTATGGGTAAGAGGCAGCCACATTTCCTGTGTTATCCTTAGGCTGGTTTAAACACCTTAAATACAGACTCTAGAAGCAGCCTGCTAATGGCTGAAGGGACATGGCAGGTTTCAGAGGCGGGCATAGTTCCACCAAACATCAGGGTACCTGGCAGGAGGCGGCTGGCTGTGTCTGTTACTTTGGAAGCAACCTGCAAACCAAGGCCAACTGCTTGCTCCTGATCCACACACAGCACCCATCGAGGAGCACAGGTCGACTTTGCTCTCCTGAGGCGCCGGACTGACAGAAGGTCACTCCCAGCTGTCTCTACTCTGCATCCAGAAAATATAGCTATGTCATTTTGGAGACACTCTTAATGTCACCGGCATCCGCTCTGTGGACTCAGGAACACAGTTCTTACTTCAAAAGTTAAGGTGATTTTAGCATCCAATAAGCTTTTATTTTAGGAAACCCCTCACTGAATGAACACCTATGACTATCAGAACTGTTGAATCAATATTTTTAATGAGCAGAATGAATACTAAAGTGGAAAGACATTACACTGTCCAAGGAATTAATATAATCAATTTATACAAACTTCTTCCTTCCTTCCCTTTGTTTGTTTTTCTTCATGTTTGAGACAAGTTTCACTGAGCAGTCCTGACTGGGCTGGAGTTCACTATGAGTAGACCTAGGCTGGCCTTGAACTACATTCACCTGTTTCTGCCTGCCTGTCTTTACAAATCCTGATTGTTGAACTGTTTGCACTGCCAGGCACAGATACTAGGTGGAGTAAACAACAGTTAACATTCTTGCAGGGAAGTTATCCTGTTGCAAACACAGAGTTCACATGTTACAAAATTCTTGTGCAATTTCAGTTGAAACACACGAGCAAAGAGATGGGAGGGGGCATATAATGCCGGAAGTCCTCTTATTAATCCTAGATGGGCAAAAGTCTGTGCAAGGTTCATTCACCAGAAATGCAAATGCTTTGAATAAACTTGTGAACCAAGTAACCGAGCCCAGCAAAACGACGCCATCCTTTCTAAAGAGTAAACAGACCTGCCAACATAAACTGGTGTTAGGCTTCCTGGAACACGTTTTAAGGGAGGGCTGTCCACACTGGCCATGTAGCTTTCCACTTAGTCAGTTTTGAGAGTTGACCTAGACCGAAAAGCCTGTCAGAAGAACTGAAGAAAAACTATGTACTTCTATACTAGCCTCTCTACATGAAGAAAAAAAAAATCTATGATCCTTTTTGGTAATAGTATTTATATCATGGGTTTTTTTTTTTTTTTTTTTTTTGGTTTTTCGAGACAGGGTTTCTCTGTGTAGCTTTGCGCCTTTCCTGGAACTCACTTGGTAGCCCAGGCTGGCCTCGAACTCACAGAGATCCGCCGGCCTCTGCATCCCGAGTGCTGGGATTAAAGGCGTGCGCCACCACCGCCCGGCATATCATGGGTTTTTAACACATTTTACCCACTTATACAATTAATAACTTAATGAAAATACTTAAATTATTCCAGGAAGAATTTTTTATTTTAATAAAAGAAGCATAGTTGCATGAATCTATGTTAAGAAAATCCCAAATCTTCCTTGATAGCAAGCTATGGACTCTGGGTGTGGTGGCATGTGCCTTTAGTCCTAGCGCTCAGGAGACAGAGACTGGCAGATCTCTGATTTAGAGGCTAGCCTGGTCTACAGGGTGAGTTCCAGGACAGCCAGGGCTACACAGAGAAACCCTGTCTCTAAACACCAAAAAAAACCCAACCAAGCCAGACCTTATGGCTATTTGTCAGCTGTGAAAGGGAAAAGCGGAAAGATCCTAAACCAGGGAGAAAACCTGTAGGCAGACTGTTCACTGGCAACTGTCCAGGTAAGTGCCACCCAGTCCTGTGAGCCCAGCACGCTGACAGATGTGAGGAGAACAGTTGGAAAATCACAAGCTACACAACCAGCTTCCAGCAAATACACAGCTGATCTGGCAGCGGGAAGGAGAGGGCAAGGTGTGCTCAGGGGACCTCTCATTTTTGCACTTGGAGCTTCAGAATGACAAACACCGCGCTGTAAAGAGCCCTGCCGCCTCTGTGAGCAGAAACGTCCTAAGTCGTGGTGCCTCTCCCTGGCCCCTCCTGTGTGTCTGTCAGCCTGGCCACTGAGGCGGCACACAGAACGGGCCACTGGCCAGTGAGGAGCTTCTGACTTGTGGTACTTCACATTAACACAGCCCCAAGGTAAACAAAGTTGGTGCTAGCCACGCTCCAGTGGGCACAGCACGTCATCACTGAACGCATTCCTAAAAATCTAATTTTGTATGAAGAGTCAAAATAAAAAAGGAAACAACACGGTTACCAAAGATACTTTCTCAAAGGGAAGCACAGGACGCTGACAGAGCGGCCTCCTTGTCCTTTGCTACTGCAGGTTACAGAACGCACAGGCCCACTGATGTGTCTCATAAAGTGGGATGTAAATTATCACAATCAATAAAATCGAGCCACATTTTCTTCAAGTGCTAAGACAAAAAACCCTGTCATGTTGTCATGTTTCTTCTGGGTAGAGATAACACTTGGCGATAGAAGAGGAAGAGCCAGCACCCACAAGACAGGGTGCTGGGCACACACATGGGTGTGCAGTCACACGTGTTTGCACAACGCAGGAGCACACATTTGCAGCGGCCTTCGCTGCTCTTACTCTTAAAGGGTATAGTTTAAAATGGAAGACTGAATCCAACGCACCCTTGTAAAGGTAATTTTATGATGATATTTACTACATTGATGATTTTTCGCAAACTATTGCTGCTCATCAATAATCCTAATCATAACCATATTATACACGCTATAAACAGAAGAGGTCCAATATTAGCTTGGGTTATTTTGGCACATAAAACTCACTATCAGAGTGTTTAGGGCACATTTTATACAAAGGTTAAAGCAACCATGGTCTTCAAAAATCACAATACACAACTGTTTTTCTTAAACATGTCATTGTATTTGCAATGATTTTTGTTAATGACGCAGGGCATTCCAAGGCGAACCTCCAGGACTCAGCACAAAATAACCAAGGTTACTCTTGTCGCGATTTGTTTCATTTAGATACTTTCCCCCGGATGGGCAAGGGTTTGTTTTGTTTACCCACCTCGATCAGGATTCCTAGCCTGCCCTCTGTGAACTCGGATCCCTGCCCTTTCTAGCGGCCCTCACTGTCAGTTAGGAGACGTGACGGGCGGGTGCTTATTTGCCCTCGACTTTGAAAGTCACAAAGGCCACGTAGATAGAGAAATTCAAAGCAGTAGTTCAAGGGCATCTTTGGCTTGGCTCTGTGCCCGCGGCCGCGCTCTTAGGTACGGCCACGCCCGCCAGCAACCCGGGTGCGAGGTGAGCAGGGCATGGGGTGCGGGCCGGGAGCCGTAAGGGCGCGGGGCGCGAGGAGGACGCCCGCCAGCACCCGCTCCCAGCTCCCCGCTCCCGCCCAGGCCCGCCCTTTCCCGGCACTATGGAAACCGCATTTTCCTACGCCAACACGCCCTCCTCCTCTCTCCTATTACATCCAGAACAGGCGACTTCCACTTCCCGGGAACCTGACAAGTGAATGGCTCTGATGACGCCCCGGAAAGAGCCCACGGCCGGGGGCGGGGGCGGGCGCCCGCGGAGGGTGGGGCGGTTCCGGGGCGCCCCTCGAGCGGCGGCGAGCGGCCGGGGAAAAAGCACGGAGCTGCCATCGACCCAGGGCTCGGGGCAGCGATGCTCGTAAACAAGCCGGGCCGCGCGCCTGCCACCCACTGCGGGCACCGCCCTGCGCCGCGCGCCCACCCCGGCTGCTGGGGTCCGACCCGTCGCCCCGCACCGGCTCCGACCTCCCGCCCCCGGTCCCCCCCTCCGCGGCGGAAGCCTGGGACCAGTTAGTAGGGCTCGAGGCAGGAGCACAAACCCCGCACGCGCCTCCTCCGTGGCTAGCTTCCCGCCCTGGGTGGCATCGCCCCCGCCCGCATCCACAACGAGCCCCTGATTAATGAGCCCGGCCCGGCCCCCGCCGAGCCCCGGCCGAGCCTCGGCGGGAGGGGGAGGGGACGGCGGGAAACGCGGCCCCGGTGTCGGCCCGCCCCCCCCCGCGCCTCACGCCCATTGGTCGGGCTCGCCGTCCGTCGGGGGACGCGGCGCCAATGCGGGGCGGAGGGGCGGGGCGTCCGCGCGAGTGTGCCTGCGTAACGCAGAGTCACGTGTTGTTTTGCTCTTAGTTCAGTCACTCGGTGCGCGATGTGTTACTCACTGTGCGGCGGGGACCGCGACAAGCCCGGGTCGTCGTTGGCGGCGGCAGCAGCAGCAGCAGCAGCAGAAGCAGCAGCAGCGGCCCGAGTGGCGGCGGCGTGGGCCCCGAGTGTCCGGACGCAGCCCGGCGTCGCGCAGCGCGGAACGGCAGCAGCAGGCCGGCCGCGCGCGTCCTAAGCTCGGCCCCGCGGCTCGGGGACCCCGACTCTCGGCCCAGCCAGCCAGTCCCCGGGCGCCGCCCGAGAGCCCGGGAGGCAGCGGCCGCGGACAGTCGGAGCGGGGGGCGGCCACCGCCCGCGCCGAGCATCCTTCCGAGCGGCGGAGGGCCCTGCGCCAGCGAGCCGCGCGCGCCTCCTAGCCCACCGCTTGGGCCCGGGGGACGCGCGCGCGCGTGGCCGGGCGGCCGGGCGACGGGTGGCGGGGAGCCGCCCCCGCCCGCGCCCCTCGGCCCTCACCATCCCCTGCGCGCCCAGCCGGGCGGTGCGGCCTGAACTAGCGGCGATGGCTAGCGCGCCCCTGCCTGGGCCCCCCGCGCCAGCGGGCGGGGACGGCCCGAACCTCAACAACAACAACAACAACAACAACCACAGCGTGCGCAAGTGCGGCTACCTGCGCAAGCAGAAGCACGGCCACAAGCGCTTCTTCGTGCTGCGCGGCCCCGGCACGGGCGGCGACGAGGCAGCCGCGGCCGGGGGATCGCCACCGCAGCCGCCGCGGCTGGAGTACTACGAGAGCGAGAAGAAGTGGAGGAGCAAGGCGGGCGCGCCGAAGCGAGTGATCGCTCTCGACTGCTGCCTGAACATCAACAAGCGCGCGGACGCCAAGCACAAGTACCTGATCGCCCTCTACACCAAGGACGAGTACTTCGCCGTGGCGGCGGAAAACGAGCAGGAGCAGGAGGGCTGGTACCGCGCACTCACCGACTTGGTCAGCGAGGGTCGCTCTGGCGATGGGGGCTCGGGCATCGCGGCCACCGGCGGGTCCTGCAGCGCCTCTCTCCCAGGCGTCCTGGGCGGCTCGGCGGGCGCCGCTGGCTCCGATGACTACGGGCTCATAACGCCCGCCACGGCAGTCTACCGCGAGGTGTGGCAGGTGAACCTGAAGCCCAAGGGTCTGGGCCAGAGCAAAAACCTGACGGGTGTATACCGCCTATGCCTGTCTGCGCGCACCATCGGCTTCGTGAAGCTCAATTGCGAGCAGCCGTCGGTGACGCTGCAGCTTATGAACATCCGCCGCTGCGGCCACTCGGACAGCTTCTTCTTCATCGAGGTGGGCCGCTCGGCGGTCACCGGCCCCGGCGAGCTGTGGATGCAAGCCGACGACTCGGTGGTGGCGCAGAACATCCATGAGACCATCCTGGAGGCCATGAAGGCGCTCAAGGAGCTCTTTGAGTTCCGGCCTCGCAGCAAGAGCCAGTCGTCCGGGTCGTCGGCCACGCACCCCATCAGCGTGCCGGGCGCGCGCCGCCACCACCACCTGGTCAACCTGCCCCCTAGCCAGACCGGCCTGGTGCGCCGCTCGCGCACCGACAGCCTGGCGGCCACCCCGCCAGCAGCCAAGTGCACCTCGTGTCGGGTCCGTACGGCCAGTGAGGGCGACGGCGGAGGCGCGGCAGCCGGGGCCGGGACGGCGGGAGGTAGACCGATGTCGGTGGCCGGCAGCCCCCTGAGTCCCGGGCCGGTGCGCGCGCCCCTGAGCCGTTCGCACACCCTGAGCGCCGGCTGCGGAGGCCGGCCAAGCAAAGTCACGCTGGCGCCGGCAGGGGGCGCCCTGCAACACAGCCGCTCCATGTCCATGCCCGTGGCGCACTCGCCGCCTGCAGCCACCAGCCCCGGCAGCCTGTCCTCCAGCAGTGGGCACGGCTCGGGCTCCTACCCGCTCCCTCCCGGCCCCCACCCGCATCTGCCTCATCCGCTGCACCACCCCCAAGGCCAGCGTCCGTCCAGCGGCAGTGCCTCCGCGTCCGGCTCCCCCAGTGACCCGGGTTTCATGTCCCTTGACGAGTATGGCTCCAGCCCTGGCGACCTGAGAGCCTTCAGTAGCCACAGGAGCAACACGCCCGAATCAATCGCGGAGACCCCGCCAGCTAGGGATGGCAGTGGGGGCGAGTTCTATGGGTACATGAGCATGGATAGACCCCTGAGCCACTGTGGCCGCCCCTACCGTAGGGTCTCTGGGGATGGGGCCCAGGACCTGGACAGAGGGCTGAGGAAGAGGACTTACTCCCTGACCACGCCTGCCCGGCAGAGGCCAGTACCCCAGCCTTCCTCTGCCTCCCTGGATGAGTATACTCTCATGCGGGCCACCTTCTCTGGGAGTTCAGGTCGCCTCTGCCCATCTTTCCCGGCATCCTCTCCCAAACTGACCTACCACCCTTATCCAGAGGACTATGGGGACATTGAGATTGGCTCTCACAAGAGTTCCAGCAGTAACCTGGGGGCAGATGATGGCTACATGCCCATGACCCCTGGGGCGGCCCTCAGGAGTGGTGGCCCCAGTAGCCGAAAGACTGATGATTACATGCCCATGAGCCCCACCAGTGTATCTGCCCCCAAGCAGATCCTGCAGCCCAGGTCGGCGGCAGCAGCCTTGCCGCCCCCGGGAGCAGCAGTGCCAGCGCCCCCTTCAGGGCCAGGGAGGACCTTCCCAGTGAACGGGGGCAACAACTACAAAGCCAACTCCCCAGCGGAGAGCTCCCCAGAAGATAGCGGCTACATGCGAATGTGGTGTGGCTCCAAGCTGTCCATGGAGAACGCAGACCCAAAGCTGCTCCCCAACGGGGACTACCTCAATATGTCCCCCAGCGAGGCTGGCGCTGCGGGCACGCCACCTGACTTCTTCTCAGCGGCTTTGCGCGGAGGCGGCGAGGGCCTCAAAGGTGTCCCTGGCCACTGCTACAGCTCTTTGCCCCGCTCTTACAAGGCCCCCTATTCTTGCAGTGGGGACAGTGACCAGTATGTGCTCATGAGCTCCCCTGTCGGGCGAATCTTGGAAGAGGAGAGGCTGGAACCCCAGGCCACCCCAGGGACCTCCCAGTTGGCTGGCACCTTTGGGGCAGTGGGGGGTGGCCATACCCAGCCTCATCACTCAGCAGTGCCTTCCCCCATGAGGCCGAGTGGTAGCGGTGGCCGCCCTGAGGGCTTCCTGGGACAGCGCTGTCGGGCAGTAAGACCCACACGCTTATCGCTGGAGGGACTGCAGACCCTTCCTAGCATGCAAGAGTACCCTCTACCCACAGAGCCCAAGAGCCCCGGCGAGTACATTAACATTGACTTCGGGGAGGCGGGTACCCGTCTGTCCCCGCCTGCCCCCCCACTACTGGCATCGGCGGCGTCATCCTCTTCGCTGCTTTCAGCCAGCAGTCCTGCTTCGTCCCTGGGTTCGGGTACCCCGGGCACCAGCAGTGATAGCCGGCAGCGCTCCCCGCTCTCTGACTATATGAACTTGGACTTCAGTTCTCCCAAGTCCCCTAAGCCTGGTACCCATAGTGGGGATACAGTGGGCTCCATGGATGGCCTTCTCTCCCCCGAGGTCTCATCCCCATACCCACCGCTGCCCCCACGTCCTTCGGCCTCCCCTTCTTCCCTGCAGCAGCCTCTGCCACCTGCCCCAGGAGAGCTCTACCGCCTGCCTCCAGCACCCGCTGCCACTTCCCAGGGCCCCACTACTGCTGGCCCCTCAACGTCCTCGGAGCCTGGGGATAATGGTGACTATACCGAGATGGCCTTTGGTGTGGCTGCTACCCCGCCACAACCTATTGCGGCACCCCCAAAGCCCGAAGGTGCCCGAGTGGCAAGTCCCACATCGGGCTTGAAGCGCCTAAGTCTCATGGATCAGGTGTCTGGGGTAGAGGCCTTTCTTCAAGTCAGCCAGCCCCCTGATCCCCACCGGGGTGCCAAGGTCATCCGTGCAGACCCACAGGGGGGGCGACGTCGCCACAGTTCAGAGACCTTCTCCTCTACCACCACCGTCACCCCGGTGTCCCCGTCCTTCGCCCACAACTCCAAGCGCCACAATTCGGCCTCTGTGGAAAACGTCTCTCTCAGGAAAAGCAGTGAAGGCAGTGGCATCCTGGGAGGAAGTGATGAGCCACCCACATCCCCAGGACAGGCACAGCCCTCGCCGGCTGTGCCACCGGCGCAGCAGGCTAGGCCGTGGAACCCAGGTCAGCCCGGAGCTTTGATTGGCTGTCCCGGAGGCAGCAGTTCTCCCATGCGCAGAGAGACCTCCGTGGGTTTCCAGAACGGCCTCAACTATATCGCCATTGATGTGAGTGATGAGCAGGGGTCCTTGTCGCCGTCTCAGCCGCAGCATCCACAGCCAGGAGACAAGAGCTCCTGGGGCCGGACCCGTAGCCTTGGGGGGCTCCTCAGCTCCGTCGGAAGCTCTGGCGCCAGCGGGGTGTGTGGGGGCCCAGGCCCTGGAGCCTTGCCTTCTGCCAGCACCTACGCAAGCATCGACTTCTTGTCCCATCACTTGAAGGAAGCCACAGTCGTGAAAGGTGAGGTCCTTTGACCTTGAGGCTGGGAGGGAGGGTGGAGTATTGGGTGGCTTTGGATGTCACTCTACCCCAGTGGTTCCTTGGCTGCCATGTTATTGTTGTCTTTCTCCAAAGAGCTCGTCAGGAACATTGACTTGGGTTTTGAGTAGAGTTAATGCCTCCCTGTGGGCAGGAGAATTTGACCTTGTTTTCGGGCCAGCCATCTCTTGCCTGGGTCCGTGTGGTCCTGCCCTTCCCGTCTGCTGGCTGGGTGGGGTTTCTACAGAGTGGTCACTCCAGAGGAAAGTTGTTTAGATTTTCACAGGTGATGCTGAGAGGCACCAGCCACTGTCTCTGTGTGTGAGTGGCTGGGCCCCAGGTCACTGCTGCCCAGCCCTGAGGTTTATTAAAACATATCCAAGAGTCCCTCAGGAAGTGAGCATGAGTCTTGGTGGCTGCTCGTAGGAGCCACCTGTCATTTCAAGTTCACATGTAGACTGTGACAAGCTTGTCCATCAGAGGCACCATGGTTCTCATGAGGGAAATGGTAGTAGTGTGGCTTGGCTTACATAGCCTGATGGCAGCTGTTCTCACCTGAGCATAACTGGGAGTTTCCTGGAGGGTTTCCTGTCTGTGGGTACTAGGGAAGTAAACCTCCCAGGATTTCTGGTGCTGTAGGTCCGGGACTTGGCAAAATGGCATTGTTAATAAGCCCCCAGGTAATGCTGGAGCTGTTGATGTAAATCCCTGGGGAGGTTTGGGAACTCAGGAGCCACTGGAAGGCCCTCGTGGGCTGGGTGGAACAAGGAATAGGGTTGGCATAGGGACAGGATGGGCTGGGCTTCTCAGAGCACCCCAGGCGGTAACACTCAGCCATGTTTCAGGATCAGGGATTGAAGTGCAGGTCTTTTCCAGAAACAGTGGGACTGGAGGACGCCCAGCACAGTCTCCTCCCCAATTATCAAATATCCACCAGCATAGAGCTGGGCTTGCTGTACAGCTGACAACGCCTCCTGTGTGTCAGAACGGCTGGAGTGTAAGAGGAGTCGGGGGCTGCAGTGTTGATTTCTGCTCTTCTTCATCTTGCCTGGGTTTCTATATGGGGTTGCTGGCAGGACAGACTGGGGGCCACGGTGGAGCCGGTTGGTGTGATTTGGAAGCAAGGTGGTGGTCTGTTTCACAGAGAGCTGTACATTTTCGGTTCTTAGAGTAACCGGAGCAATCGAATGCGATCTATATTCAGACTGTGTTTTCTAGTATATTTGGGGCTGTTAATTCATAGGCTTCAGGCTTATAGCTTGGGGGAAATGCCATTATTCTAAGGTGATGGATGAAAAACTAATTCTTTTATTATTATAATTACAACTGGAGCAGAGGAAGAGGAGTCTCCAAGAATTACCATTAGTACAGTGCTTCAACATCTAATTAAATCAACTAGAAGTTGGCAAAGTGTCTCCTCCATGGTCACTCTCTCAGGTGAAGGTCATTTTGTCAAAGCTTTATTAAATAGTACAAAATTTCTAATGCTAGGGAGTTGAGAATCAACTAAGCCACAGGCCATCCAAACACGGCAGGGTGTGACTGAATGGGAAAGTCTGTCAGCCCCCACACACCCCTACACCCCCCTACACACACACACACACACACACACGCACACACTTATTTAGCAACTTCTGTGCCCCTGGCAGAGGGGGTGGGTAAACAGGCAGTTGGGGTTGGGTGGGTGGTCTCCACCTTTGGGAAAACCCAGACTGAAGTCTAAACTTTGAAGCCTGAAGACTGTGGTACAGTCACTCCATTCAAAAAAGGATTCACTGGCAGATTAGAAAGAATGCTGATGCGCAGGGGTTGAGTTTGTTTAGACACCTGGTTCATCTAGTCCTGCGTAGGGTTTCCACCAGGATAAAATTCCAGTCAGTCTGCAGGATTCACACATGTGAAATCCAAACAGTTCTTCCTACAGGAGACATCTTGGTTACTGTTATTCTGAATTCTGTGGATATTATGCTAAACTCCTTTCTAAAAAGGGGTATTTTACAGGAAGAACAGATAACTACAATTCATCTATTGTGCCAAAGCCACATGTTCAAAGGGAGGCATGTATGCCAAATTAGATTTCTAGCAAATTGACTTGAACAGAGAGCAGCATGGGGGGGGGGGGGCGGTGAACGAGCAATCTTCCCTCACAGAGCTGAGCCCTTGATGTCGGTTCAGCCACAGAGGACCACTGAAAAGGTAGAAATTGGTGGTGTGCACAGAGGAAAAGTTCTCTGTAGAGCAGTGTGCTTTGAGAGGGTGATTTGTAGAAGCCAGGCTAGAAGCAGGAGTGTGAAACTCAACTGCAGAATGTCCTTGCCACTTACCAAGCTGTGCCCAGGCTCTTAGCAGTGCCCTGTGCTTCTGCCCCAAGCTACTCACTCATACTCTCCTGGACAGACCCCATTAGTTACACAAACAGGGAATAATTTAGCTCAACCCGGGTAGTATGTAGTACATAAGTAATTCAGACATAAAGTCCTGGCAGTATTACATAGTCGATTGCAGTTGAATTGGGAATGGGGGTGGGTTTTAAACACTCCTTATTAAGAAGCTGGTAAACCCCAGGTATGTGTATATGTATGTAGTTTGATTAATCTGTCAGAATTATCTTGTTTGGGAACTGGAAATTAATTGGATTAACTGTGTTTTAAAATTCCTTATAAAAGTATGCACATTATTGACAATAGGATTATAGATTGGTGTGCTCCTTAAAATGTTAGTTTTCCTCCATAGAGGGATTTTCATTCTGTTAGTTTCTGATGGTGAAGAGGCTGATTGGATAGATAAGTACTGTGGAAGCATTTATATTTAGTTCTGTTTGCTCAAAAGACTATCCACACATCCTTCTCTAACAAGGTTGTCAGATAAATGAGGTGTTTCCAAAGGAGCTGGGGGTGGGGTGGGGTGTGTGTGTGTGTGTGTGTGTGTGTGTGTGTGTGTGTGTCTTGATTTAGTCTAGAAAGTTCTGCCTTTGGAAGTGTTTGATCCCTGAGTCGGCACAGTAGCTTTGCCAGCCTTGGTGGGTGCCCTTCTAGGCGTAGTTTCTGGGGGCTGAGGTAGTGCTATGCAGGGTGGCTCTCACCTCCTAAGGCCCAGGCAGCTGAAGTGCTAAGGAAAACACCCTGGCTTTGGTGAATGAAAATCACGTGGCCAGTTCTGCTTCCTTTATTGAGAGAAAAGCCTTTACAGAAGTGAGAAAGGAGGAGGGCGGAGCGAGGAAGCCGGGTTTCTGGTTGCTAATCTCCTCCAGAGAGCCACAGACCCGCGCTTCTGGCTGTGTTGTCTACAGAACAGTTGATTCCGGTCCTTCCCCTGCTGGGTCACAGAGACATGAAAAGAAGAGTGTCCTAAGCCCTTCCAGAGGGAGCGTGAGGAAAACAGCAGTTCTGTACGGTCAGGAATGTGGGCCGCCGCCGCGAAGGGACTTTTGGAAATGAGTGCTCTTGAATTAAAACTTAATAAAGACAACCCAAACTCAGTAGTCTGGGAGTGGAGACAAAGCCTTCTTTTTTTTTTTTTTTTTTTTTTTTTTTTTTTGGTTTTTCGAGACAGGGTTTCTCTGTGTAGCTTTGCGCCTTTCCTGGGACTCACTTGGTAGCCCAGGCTGGCCTCGAACTCACAGAGATCCGCCTGGCTCTGCCTCCCGAGTGCTGGGATTAAAGGCGTGCGCCACCACCGCCCGGCGACAAAGCCTTCTTAAATGCTTACCTTCCCTGACACGTCGTTGGTTGTGCTCGGGGCTCTGAGAAACCCACCTCCGCTCTTTAAGAATTCCGTAAAGCCAGGTGGTAGCCCAGCCTTAGAGCAGTGCGAGAGGAGAACAGCAAAACCAAACAAGATTTGTTCCAGAAAGGGGGAAAAAATGAAAGTAACAATGTAGAGGTTCCAATTACATAGTAGCAGAACAATTAAGAAAAACAGGCCTGCTGTCTGCCCTGGCTTCAAAGCGCGCTTTACATTCCTGTCTGTGATGTGCTCAGGTATTAAAAGCTGTTGACAAGATGAGGATGTGTAATTAGAATATACATTTTAAAAATGGACTCTTAATGCTGGAAGCTCTAACGAACAGCCAAGCCCTCAGACTTTAGAGTTTAATTAGCCGGAGTTCAGCAGGGATTCAGTTCTGTTTGTTGACTTAACTTGGGGGTCACTCCTGAAGTTTTGATTTCAGATCTGTGCCGTCTGTTTGTAGGATAGCAACATGCTGGATTCTTTGCTCTTCACCCCAAAAGAGCAATTTTCATAGCAGCAGCTGGGCATAAAGGCGTTCTGTTAGATTCCTGTTAACATCTTTCTCTGGAAGCATATTCTGAGAGCTAGGTAACTTCGCTATCAGATCTGGCAAGCCAGCCAGCTTTTTATTTAGTTTTGGGAGGGGGGCATTGGATAGTACAGAACTGAATGTTTTCCGCTCACCTTGAAAACTTAAGGGAAAATGTAACTTTATTCTTCTACCTACATTGTCAATTAGGGTGGGGGCCACTTTGACTCAGAGGGGAGCTCAGCTCCAGATTCAGCCTCTTTGCCTAGAGAACTGTGGTAGGGGTGGAGTCTCTTCAGTCTCCCTACACCAGCACAAAAAGTGTATGTTTTCATGCAAGATGTGCCAAGCATTTTAATGTTGCCATTTTAGTACTGACCTGCTACAAAGGTTGTGTTAGTTATCCGGCTATGGGTTTTGTGGCAGCAGTGCTTTCCTGATCTAAACAGAATGCTCTTTATTTTCATTGGTCTGAATTTATCAGTCAAGACTGCAGGGGGAAGGGGCGTAGTTGAAGGGTTTAGTTGAGGTGGGTGGCACCCGGAGGGTAGATGCCAGTGTGTTTCTGGAAGGAGCTGGTAGGGGATGCTGGGGTCAGTGGTGGCCACTGGTCTTTTGTGGGTAGTTTCCTGGGCTCATACGGAGGGTGCCCTGAAGTAACACATGCAGAAGAAAGTTGGAATAGACAGGGAAGCAAGCTGCACACCAGGAGCTGCTTGCT